AATAGTTAAATTTCTCAGTGCCTTATTCCATACAGAATCACAGAATGGTTGAGGTCTGAAGGGGCCTCTGGAGATCCTCTAGTCTGAATCCCTGCTCAGAGAAGGCCCAAGTATATCAGGTTGCCAGGGCTGTGTCCCATTGGGTTTTGAATGTCTCCAAAGCTGGAGAGTCCATAGTGCTATTTTTTTGTGTGTGTGTGTGTTTGAGAATACAAAATCAAGGTTTTTTTCATGCCCATCAAGTCCACTATTACCTCCATCAGTTGAACCACTCACTTTTCCTTCCATAAAGTTGTTTTTTGTGGGTTTTTTTTTACTTTAAGAATTTGACTCTGGAGTTTAACCATGTTTCCATTTTGACTAACCTTCTTTACAACTTTTCTACAGCTACACATTTCCAATTTCGTTTGTGATAAATTATTTTCCATTCTATAAAAAAAAAATCTCTCTTGCCTCTCTACTCCATTTGATTTGACACAGTTTGTATAAAAGAATATTTATATAAATTAATAGTATAGAAACATAAACAATGGTGGTGTAGGGCAAGCTCCTGCAGAGATGATGTACACATTCATGCACTACTCCAGAAAGTCTTCTTCTGAACATTTGTATATTTTTACTACAGTTTGTAAATATATAAGTGGATAAATGGAGTGGAAAGCTTCTGGTGAGTTCCCTCTGTTTATTGAATGACAAATAAAATTACATATTAGTTCTGACTTTAAGCTGTTTCATGCCATTTACCTTATTTTGTTAGACTTCTGTCATTTGAAAAAAAAAAATTCTACGTTCCATGTATATCTGTAACTACGGAAACCGTGAAGTGAGTAAGAGGAGTACAGTTGATGCTTCTGTGGCTCAACAGCCAAATTGTTTTGTTGTTTTTAAGAAGGTTAGAAGAATATACAAAAATGATGTATGAAATAGTGATTTCTAGTGTAGCTTAATGGTCTACAAAAAATGGAGATTGATGTTACAGAAAACATGAGTAGCAATTCATGGCTATTACATTATCAGAAATATATTAAGAAATTGAAGGAAATTCAGGCAAAAGCAATAAAATTGAAAAAGAAACTGATCTATGAGGAGAGAGTGAAGCTGTGATTGTTGCTGGGGCTTAGAATTCTCCCACTGCCGAGGAAGTAAAAATACTGAGGGTGAAACTGGGTAGTGTGGACAAGAGGAGTGAGGAGAGAGTGAGTGTAGCAATATGGAAAAATGGATTTAAACAGGGTAAGGTTAAATACAGGGCCTGTGGAGGAATCAAATCATCAGAATGCTTGGGATCACTGAGTTACAAAAAAGTGATCTAAGTCTCATCATGATGACCCCTGGATGAATAAAGCTACTACTGTGTGATGCTCCATAAACTTTTCTTGAGGGTTTGCTTTTTTTCAAAAAATTAAATTCTCAAGCCCAGACAAATCAGCCTGACCAATTAATACTTGCTGTGTCTCTTTGATTTTTAATCCCTCCTTTCTCTTGTTAGGACAGTCTCTTCTGTCTCCCTCCAAACTCTAATTTTGTGAATTTTGATCATTTTAGTTAGAAGTAGACCTAAAACCAGAGTTGCAAGGAAGCTTCAGGTGCAAGGTTTCATAGATTTGTCCAAGCTACAGTCCTGCTTTAGGAGGTCACAACTGTAATTGAGACAAAGCAATGCAATACAATTTTTGTAGTATGTTTTTAGTGGTGTGTATTAATTAGTTTACTTGTGTAGTAGATTTAGAAAAAAAACTTGCAGGGGGAGAATATTTCAAATTACTGTATGTAACTGTGAATTTTTAGACAAAAACAAAGACTCCTCCTCTAGCAATTTTGGTTTCTTCCTTGGGCTCCAAAGGCATTCTCAGGGAAGTACATCGCAATAGTGACTGGAACTAGGCTGTGTGCTGTTTTAGAGATATTATTTCATATGATAACTTTATAGTTGCCTGAATGTATCACTTCCAATGCCCAGTTTGCTGCAGGATTATTCCACAGAATGTTTCATTTTTGTGGAAGTTGTCAGGAGCTTTCTGAAAGATTGGCAGCTCTAGCTGAGAGATTCTGGCAGAAAGGCACGTGAAGAAAGTCAGTTGTTTTTTGGTTTATTTTATCTTAAAATTACTAGTAATGCTGTTGCTAGCAGCAGTGTCAACAAAACTGGCATAAAAAATCCCGTTGATGCTATCTCCTTGAATCAGTGCTCCTGTGCACCTTTTCTGCATTTTTCTATTGGCAGTTTGCAGTTGTGGGTTTAGAAATTTAGGCCAGGAGTAAGATTACGATCAATGTATCAACTGTGTTCCATTGCCTAAAAGTAGGTATCTGATGCAGATGTATACATATGGCTGGCAGGTGTGTCATAACTCCCGTGGGAGGTTTCTGCCTTCTTAAGTGGCATGTGGCAGCCAGGTACGATATGCTGACTTATCTCTAATGGCACTAGCCTGTCATTAGACACAGGATTTCATTTTATTGTGTCTACTTGAGAGTGAGTGGATTCTCTTTGCATGGAAACTGAAATACCTGCCATGCCTATAGGCATTGCTGTGTAAACAGACAAAAGGTAAGCACCTTACTCTCATCCTTATTCGTACACATAGGATCTGACTTGGAAAGTTAACATCTGAGTTAACTACGAAAGGCAAGCAGGAAAAGAGTATGCAGTGCGCTCTCCAGTGCAAGTGGAAAATTCTGATAAGGTGGGCTTTTAAACATCCCTCCTGGATGCTCTCAGCCAAAGATGTAGTTGTACCACAGACTTTAAGGTGACATGTAGTTCTGTGAACAGTGGGACCTCGTTCCCTATGAACATGTCTTGCGGTTGAATTGCTGTATAGATCCTGTGATGCCAATGAAAGATTGCAAACTAGTGAAATATTTATACGGCTCCTATAGACCTGCCTACTTCATGAAACTTTTAAGAACACAATCCCTTGAAAAATTCCATGTCTGTGCAAAATTTAATTGCGTTTGTCCAGTGGGTTAAAAGATTATTGGCGGGTGTAGGGAGAAAAAGGGGGAAGAAACCAATCAGCTGTCAGCATAAACCTAATTTTTGTGCCAAACTGGGATAAAAATATCAAGCTGAAAATGTAAGTTTTGAAGAAAATCTGTTCTGCACAGGGATGGAAGAACAAGGATTGCTAAAATGGCTTTAATGTCACAGTCCTGAAATGGCTGAGCCCCATATTTCTGATGAGCATCAGTGTGGGCAAAGTGGTCCTCTCCCTGCTTGGAGAGGAGGATGGTAGAGAATTGTACTGTCCTTTTGAACCCTTCAGTCTAGATGACAGGCTTCATCAAAAGCAGAACCTAGACTCCTAAGCTATTTCTTTACTAGCAAATTAAACCTAATCTGGGACTATTCCTAGGTGTTAGAGTATTTGTGCTGGTAAACTGACAGAAGGCTGCTTGGCACGCTCTTGGTCTTCTGCCCACTAGCACTTTCTCATAAATTTTTCCTGGTGGTTTGGGAGTTGGGGTCCTCTAAGGCGCACCTCCAGGAGGCAGTTGGTGTGCAGCCATCTTGCTTTGAAGTAGAGCAGAGATGCTAGCATAGATGCAGGTTATTTCGTCTCATTTGGCTTCAGTACTCAAAAACTTTTCTGTAGTTTAACAGGAGGTGGTGAGCCACTGCCATAGAGAAAAATCCTCTTTCCCCCCATTTGCCTCTCTTCCTTGCCACATGATTTCACTATTCATCATACCCCTCCATCAGAAAAATAGATGCAACAAAAAATTTAAACTGATTTAAATATACAGATACATTTCTACTATGTTTTTAAATGCAAGTGGCTCCTGGGAGGACCTGACAGTCAAGGAAGAGGATACAAGGGAGTATGTGGTATGGCGAAGCTGGGAGCAAGGAAGTGAGAGGACAAACCCAGATAGGGAGAAAGAAGAGCAAGAGTGGAGGGAGGTGGGGAGAAGACCTTCCCTTTTGGTGACCAGGAACCATTGTATGAAATCAGCTCTCTGTACAATTTTAAAAAATATAGTTAATGAAAGCTTGGATTCACAAGCACATTTTAATTAGAAAGGTGGAGTTGTTTATTTATTTAGATTTTGGGCTAATGTAAGGATTCAGGTAGATTTTCAGCTTAATTTATTTACATTTTAGTGGAGTGAAGCCCTCATGACATTTACGCTAGGGTTTTATTACAGAATTAATTTTGACAGAGCGAAAGAGATAAATGCAATGTTGTATACTAATTTCACGGTTTGCTGCATGTTTTATGTTATCCCAGAAACATTAAGTGATATATAGTCTAACTTTATTCTGTGATTCAATAGTGTTGTAAGAGCAAATTGATAACATTGCTTCTCTTTGACTTCCAAGAGGTGATTTGTAGGATGATAGCAGAGCTCTGCTGAAGTTAATGGTGCCTCAGGCAGAGAAGATGGTCTGTCCAATTAGATCTGTCTGAAATAACTAGTGGATAACGGTGGATAAAGGAACGCTAACAAAAGCAGTAAACTGAGAACATGTTGTGTATACACCCTTCAGAAGAAATAATTAAGATAGCGTGAAGGTTCAGTAAGGAACAGCATGTGGCCTGCTGCATTAGCACACTTGTTACCTAATTTGCTGTACAGAGATGAAGCAGGATGCATGGCAGTCAGTGTAACTGTGGGTTTGCTATTTCTAAACTCATGAAGCGTGGAGGACGGTGCTCCTTATGGAGCCTCCTCAGAATCTGGGCTTGGGTGAAGGATTGGGGGAACTTGCTCTGACCTTAGCCTGAGTTTTGCTTGACATGTGTCACACAAATTTGCTATAAAGTTTGTGTCTCACCCTAATGTGACTTTAGCCTTACAATGCATGTTTGGAAGTCTCCAAATTTGAATTTGAAAAAAGCCTTTTGCTGCATTCTAAAATGCAGTTTTGAAATATGTAATCATGAAGAAGTGTTCTTATTTTTGTAACTGAAAATGCTCTTTTTCTCTGTGTGTGTACTTGTATATATTATTTACTATGGGCTCTTTCAAGTTGGAATTTCATGTTGTGTTAGTACAGGAATACTGTTCCTACTCATTGTGGATCACATTCAACAGTACCTGTAAGAGTAAGTTTGAGGAATATTTTTTCTGTGAATGAAATACCCCATATTCCACATGAAGGCAAGCATGGGATCCTTCTAGCATGTTTTCACGCAGCCTGTAAATTTTTCACGTGAATCTGTGTGGGAACTGTTGACCCACCTCCACTGAGTCCTGTATGTGCCACTTTGTTTTTGTTATGTAGCAGTAAAGCCCAGAATGCTTTGCTATGCTATGAAAATGCACATTATTCTAGAGCCATGCACATGAACCTTTTGAATGAGGAGCACCCTTTCACTGGTTCTCTTTAATAGCTTCCTGTGTGGGTATGCATTGACCTATGTGAGGATGCCAGAAACGAGGAACAAACCCAACAACAAAAATCAGACTCTGGATGTCTTGAATAACTTACTGTAGGACTGCATCAGAGCTCACCATCCAGAAAAGTGTAAACAGAGACTATTTTTGAAGTGACAGACCAGAGTAAAATTGTCGAACACTCATCATTTTACTGATGCATCGCGTGGAGGTCCAGAAGCCGCATTAGAGAACTGTAATCCTTCATCAGAGCATTTGTTTGGTTGCCTAACATCTGTGGATTGTTAAGATAAGTTATTACACAGATCTGCTGTAGTTTAGATTAGTTTGGACCACATCCCAGTGTATTCAATCAGGATATAATTCCTGCATGCTGCTAAATTGCTTGCTCCACATACTTTTCCAAAAATGTTTTTCAAGATACAGTTTTATCACTGGAACTGCTCTGTCACTTCAATTTTGGCTTTCTTTTCCTCATAAAGAAAAGCTTTTATTATTTTTCCTTTTGGACTGAAAATATCTCAAAGCAAATATAGCATTTATTAAGTCCTGAAGAGATTCCTAAACAAGGATGGTAGTGTAGCTTCTATGTGAGTATAATGCAGATTTCCTACATGTGTAATCTGTAGTGATTGGTATGTATTGTGTCCAAACTGCAGTGTTTAAAGACAACTGTAAGAAAATGGGTTTGTATTTACATGTTTAGTATTTTATTCTTTTTGTATTTTGTATTTTTTCTGTGTCTATTTGTGCATTAGCTATTTGTATTTGTTTGGATTTAATAATATTTTGCATAAATTAATTTCAAAATATGAAGATTATGTAAATTAATGGTAATTTCTTAAAGTTTATTACATACCTTATACATATTTTAAATGATCAAATGCATTAAATTGTAAATGAAGTCTATTACCATCTTTACACATTTAAATGTGCTTGCATACGTACAAATATATGCAATTTGATTAGAATATTTAAATTTTACTTTAATATTCCTTATCCTTCCTTTAAACAAACTCTAGTTGATTTAATTTTTATTAACACTTTTTTCAACTTTCTCTGTAAACTGGGAAAATACAGGCAATGACATATTTCATTAATGACTTTGGTTTCTAGCATTTTATAAACAGACACATGTGCATGCACACTCTTGCTGCCTAATGAGCTAACAATTGTGTCAGAGTCCATAAAAACATTTAAAAATGTGGTGGTTTTTTCCTTTTAGTCTTGCTGGTTTTTTAAATCCTGGTAATAATAATAGACTAAAACAGATAGACTAAAATCCGTTCTATTAGAACAGATAGTCTGATAAGCTGAATCTCTGTTTTGTTCAGTGTACTAGATGAAGGAAATAAGACATTTGAGAATAAATGGTTTTTTTATGTTAAAGGACTAGCATTTATTTTGTTGAAGTTGCTGTTCCTATTATCCTACTGAGGGTTATCTGTTTTTATCATAATACATGTTTGTGTCACTGTTGGAGATTAAGTTTTTTTTTTAATTCATTAAAATCTTAATAGGTATTTTATTATCCTTCTTAAATAGAAGAAACATAACAGTCATCTTTTGGTAAAGGTACAATCCAGATACAGGGAAAAGAGTTGGATGTTGTCTCAGTGTGATTTGGTCAACCAGTGCAGGAATGGTATTGGAAGTTTTGATGTATTCTTCAGACCTAAAGAGACAGTCTATTTTAGGATGCTTTAAATAAATTTTATTTATGTTAATTTTGTAAAATGCCTAAAATTTTCATCATTCCATGTAAGCCATGCACTTCCTCCCCAGGCCAGAGAATAAGAGAGCTCAGTACCAGAGCTTTGTCCTGTTGCAATTTCTTCCCTGAAGTGATCGTTTTTTCTGTTCCTTTTAAGTGCTGTACAATTTTGAAATTGTTGCATCATTCCTGTGTTTCCACAAAATAGTTTTAAGCATATTTTTCATTCCAACTCTTGTCATCCTTCTTAGCCTCTTTAAAGTTTTACCCATTCTTTTACATATTTCCACATGAAACAAAAAGATTTTCTTTACCATTTTCCCTATTAGTTGTCAGCTTTGTTTCCCCTCTCTCCTTATTTCTGACAAATTTCTACTTCTTGTGTATTCTTCATGCATTTTGCCTTTTTTGTTCTTCTGCCTCAAAACTCCTTTTGTCTTTGTCTCAAATTTTTTTTTAAATATTCACACACTTTAGAGTCCTGCTTAACCTTTTATTTTTCTCTGATGATTTACGCCTGTACATAAGACTGTCTTGTACTGCATAGACTTCAAACATGGAGTTTTTCTTTACTGTGTGTGCTCCTGTTTATCTGTGGATGTGGAATAAAAAAAAAATCTTAAGAAGCAGCATTTATCTACACAGCTTAATTGGGATTGCCAGGGACAATGTTTAATTTATTTATTTATTATTTCCAGGTATAACTCAGAGTGATGGTAAATGATCATTTCCAAGTAGTACAAAATATGGTACTTTTGCATTCTTTTCATTGGTGTGTTTAGTTCTCTATTAGTAGGCTTCTTAGGTCTTACCTTACATCTCTGGTAAGTAGTTGTTGTGGATGTAGCTAAAACAATGCAGAGTAAATGCTGAGTTTATTTGCAGGATAATGTTGAGTTATGTTACGTGAGAAAAAATTAATTAAAGGGAAATACTGTGTCAGTTTTCTGTGGTGGTAGAAGTTGGGAGTTAGCTGGGCAGGACTCTGCCACCCGAGGTACAAGTCCCATTCACAGTCTGGTAGGCTTGTCTTGACAGCGATCCACACCAACGAAAACAACTCAACCCACCCCGCCAACTACATCAACATGAGCAACAAGTGTTGGTCGTGTTGTCAGTGTTTATTCAGAAGAGAGCTAGGGCTGGGCTGAGGGGGGATTGCTACAGGTAGGACTGACGTATATTGACAGCACATTTTGGAGAAGCTCGCATAGCATGTGCCTGTAGGATGCTTGGCTCTAGCCAGTGCAGTCGGTGCTTGGAGAAGCATGTTCTGGGTCCTGTCATGAGCACCAGCCTCACCAGTTTAGAGGAAAGCGAGATCGTACCTGCTCTGTGATAGCGAGCATGTATTTCAGGGTCTGAGGGGTAGCTCCACTGACTCTTCTTGTTGTCTTCAACTAGGTTATGTGGGTATGCAATTTATGTCGAAAGCAACAAGAAATCCTAACGAAATCTGGAGCATGGTTTTTTGGAAGTGGACCGCAGCCGTCACCCAGCCAGGACGGAACGCTGAGTGATACAGCGACTGGTGGAAGCTCGGATGCACCGAGAGAAAAGAAAGCAAGACTTCAAGAGCGATCGAGATCACAGACTCCCTTAAGTACAGCAACTGCCTCTTCACAGGAAATCTCTTCTTCCAGCGTGCAGTCTGACCGGAGGAAAGGAGCAGAAGTGTCGCAGCCGGCTATGGGCCTGGACCAAAAGCAAGTTTCCTCAAGGTCTAGAAGTGAACCAAGGGAGAGGTAATGCTTTTTGTCTTGGCAGAGCCTTGCAATTATAAATGCTAGTTCAATAATATTATGCAGGGCTTTCAGCTGGGCCTTGCATGTAAGAACAAAGAATAAATTGATTTACTGACCATGGAACGATCAGTGTTCACTAGCAAATACATTGTCTGATTTGGTCTGTGCAACAGAAATGACAAAAAAAAATTGTATTTTAGGGATATTTCTATGTATTTCAATGCATTTTCATAAGCTTTTAATATAGAATTGTAGGTTACTTTTAAATCTGGCAGGTGTTTTAGAGTTACGAAACAAAAAGCAAGCCTTTAACTTGAAGAAATAATGTACTAAAATTTAAAAAAATAACACCCCCCCCCAAATCCCAATAAACAAAAAACCCACCCTGTGGAGTTCTGTCAGATATCATTATGTGTTATCTTTTTATCAATGATTGTATTATTTCTAATAATAAACCAGGAACTATTAGAAGAGCTCATTTATACCTGGAAAGTAAACATTCATGAAGAACAGCAACAGTACCATCTTGAATTTAGAGCAAGTTGTATGCAACAATAAAGCCAACGGGTAGCAAACGATTACGTTTTAAGTGAGTAAATGAGTAAATTCCTGAGCTGCCTTCACTGTAATGAATGAGTTGAGGAGCAGCAAATCAAGAGAGGATAATGTGATGAAGCAGTTGCTGTTCTTTTGGCTGCTGCCTGGCAGATGGCAGAGCAGTCGAGGAGGGAGCCTGTGGCAAGAAAACAAGAGTCTGCCACAGAAGATTCTCTATTGGCCAGAATGGTTGATGATTTTTTTTTCATGGCTGGTGAAGTTTAAAATGGATGAGAAAGAGTGGCTAGTAACTTACTGTGTGGGTGAGGACCGTCTGAGTTTAACTGGACCAAAACTCAGGTTAGTGTTTTGTACATGTATGATGTAAACGAACACATGGTGCCCTCCCCTGATTCTGTTGACTTTTTGCCCCCAACACTGGAAGGGCCCCCAGAGCAGTCATCACTCATCTAAAGGTCAATCTTAGGGCAGCAAAATGCTTTCTATTTCTGCTTTGCTGTCCAAAAGTGAGATGATTATATTAATTATACAATAGTGAGGTTCTCTGCTTGTCACTGAGACTTCCAAATGAAGTCCAAGGGTTCTGAATGGACATATCTATGGTAAGCTCAGGTCCCATTTATTGCCAAAAACTCAGGAGGGGCAGGAGATGGAGAAAAAGGACACAGCAGCTTAACTTTGGATGGTATCCAACTTCACCTGTCCTGTCAGATGCATCTGTGAATATCTGTGATACGTAATCCAAAGACGTATCAGTTGTGGAAGGGAAGATTCAATGCCACAAAACAAAGGCCCAGTGGCTTTGTCCCGGTGCAAGTTCATCTAAAATAACAGTGTATAGCTGTGTTCACCTTTATTCAAAATTGATGGATTCATATGGGAACTGGTAAACAACAAGTCAATTGGAATGATGAGAGAAATAACAATATACACTATAAGGGGATTTTATGATTCTTTGGCTTGCTTATTCTCCCAAAGCAGAAGATGAAAGAGGAGAGATCATAATTTTCAGGCAGCATCATTATTCATTATTTTGTACTTAGGCTGTATAGGGAAATAAATTACATTTTTCATCCTCTTTTATTACCGGAGAAAGGAATGCCATTAATTTATCTCAAGAAGTCAATTTGCTTTTCTTTATATGCTTATGAAATGGTCACTTCCTTTTAGAGTTTTAATAAGATAAAGCAAACTAGGTCAAATATTATTGTTCTGGATATATTCTCTTTTGCATTTTTTTAATATCCATATTAATTCTTTCTGTAATGTCATTGTGGGAGATACTCCACTTGATGGTGTTCATATTTATACTGTCAGGGTGCTTGAAGTGAATTTTGTATATGTGGTTATTCTGTAACCTTCATGACTGCTGCCAGAAAAATGGAGAACATACTCCAATACTCTGTCATAGTGCTGCAGTTACTATCAAGACAACTTTGAGTCTTTCTACTTAACATGGGTAAATTATTTTTATCTGCATTTATACATGTTCATATTCTTTGTGATTTTACTCATTAATTTATGTTTTTATGGACTCTGGAAGTTGTTTGGTATTGGAAAATAAAAGTACTGCTGGAAGGATCAATAGATTTAATTCATGTTAATGCATCCAGTACCTTTCTGTGTGTTTTGGCATAGCTTATCCTGTCCTATAATCTATTTACTGTGACAGTGTACACAAGTATCTTTACTTTGCATTCAATTCTTCCAATTATTGTACTCCTTTTCATTGTAGGAAGAAGACGATATTGGTTTCAGACCAGAATGGCAAAGGCTTAAAGAGTGAGCGTAAGCGTGTGCCAAAATCCTCACTTCAAAAAGGACCAGCAGATGACAGGGAGCGTAAAGAACGGCATGAAGGTAGAAGGCTGGAGAAAGGCAAGTCACAGGACTACCCAGACTTGCCAGAGAAACTTGAGGAAGGCAAAGTGCCTGATGATGAAAAACAAAGGAAGGAAGATGAATATCATACTCGTTACAGGAGTGACCCCAATCTGGCAAGATATCCTGTAAAACCGCATCCTGAGGAACAGCAGATGCGCATGCATGCAAAGGTTTCTAAAGCACGGCATGAGAGAAGACACAGTGATGTAGCTTTGCCACATACAGAAATGGAGGAAGCGGAGGTACCTGAGAATAAATTAGGAAAACGCTCACAATTACAGGGAACTCAGGACAGAAAATCTCTTGTGGAAACTCAGAGGTCGTACTCTATAGACAGAACAGGTGATGTAAGAGTTTCTGTTTCTAAACAATTAACTAATCATAGCCCACCAACTCTCAGGCATAGTCCAGTTCCTATAGAACACGTAGAATACAAGAACCACGATTCCTTTAAAAAACAGAGCCGCCTTGATCCTAGCTCTGCTATTCTCATGCGAAAAGCAAAGCGGGAGAAAATGGAGACCATGCTAAGGAATGATTCCCTTAGCTCTGACCAGTCGGAATCAGTGCGGCCATCCCCTCCAAAGCCTCATAGAGCAAAAAGAGGCGGAAAGAAAAGGCAGATGTCAGTTAGTAGCTCAGAGGAAGAAGGGGCATCAACACCAGAATATACTAGCTGTGAAGATGTGGAGATAGAAAGTGAAAGTGTCAGTGAAAAAGGTAAGGACTTTTATGTCTATTATGCACATGGCCATGGTTTGGGGGAAAAAAAATTTCTGTATTTTTCTCTCTCTTTTGCCTGTTTTTTCAACATACACCTTTGCTTTTCCCCTTACCTTTTTTTTTCCAAATTGAGAAGTGTCTTATACCTGTTTACATTTGGTTTACAATGTTTCCTTTTGCATTCTTAGATGAGGTCGTTACAGGCAGCATCAGCTGATGAGTTTCTTTCTCATTCTCTTCCTTCTGTCACCTAGAGCTGACAAGATTTAAGGGTTCCAGTTTATTCTCTTGATGGTATCTGTACTCCTTTGGTCATTGCTTCATCCTTTTGTCTGTATGCAGAATAATTTTCTGTGAATTAATTGAAATGGAAAGTGAGTCCTGTAACAATCTGAGAAGACCATTATAAAGCATCATAATCTACTGACACCTCCATCTTAAGATGTGCAAAATTTTACTACATTTAATAAAAAATGCCAGAGTTCATTGTAAAGAAGGACAGGATATGGGGCAAGGGGATTTTATGTAGGAAAGACATGAGAATTGCTGAACTTGTCTAGACGATTTTGCTCCCAAGCTTACAAATATGTTTAAAATCTGTTATTTCAGTTTATCTTCATCTGTTTATGGTAAAACTCAGCAGTAAGGAATAAGTGTAGTACACTGTGTGCTTTTAAACAAAGCCTTTCTTCTGGATGAAGAAGTTAATTAAATTAATGAATGGTGAACAGATAAAATAAGCATCATCAGAAAACACTGTGGTAGAACCTACGAACTGTCTTATAACCCTAACTTGTCTCTAAGTGACACTACACTACAGTGAGCTAAAAGCTTTTTGTGTCTTTGGAAGTAGCTTTTAGCTCTTTAGTTTAATTACCTGTGTTTGTGTCTTGGAGATTTTCTGCTGGTGTTCATACTCAAAATGCCAACGGCTTGCCTGCATTGCCTTTTATTCCTGGCACTGTTTCCTGACATGTCTTTGATTCATATATGCTAAGCTGTCTGTCTTCCTTTATCTGATGTGGTCTCCTGACATCCCCTAAAGCTCCAGTTGTACGTATAAAAAGAGACATTTCTTTCCTCTCCCATCTGAGTAGCTGCGTGTTTTAACTTTCTAAGCATGAACTTTTCCATTCAAAACATGGAAGCTTGCTTTTCTGCCCATTTCTAGGGAGTGGTGATGATCATGCCCCTGAAATCTTAATCCAGATTCCACTTAGACATAACTTGCTTTTTTGGCTGCAGGGGTGGTCAAACACTAGAACATATCACACAGAGATGTTGTACAGTCTCTATCCTTGGAGATGCTGAAAACCCAAATGGAGAAGGCTCTGAGCAATCTGCTCTAGCTGACCCTGCTTTTGAACAAGGACATTTGAGCTAGGGCCCTGCAGAGGTTCCTTCAAGTCTCAACTATTCTGTCTTTCTAAGAGAAGCGCATCTCTCTTCCTTATTTTGTGGCAATGTTTTATGCTGATGTTTGGATTTGTGTAGTTTTCCCTGACTTCCTCTGTTGGTAGTAGCGGTCTGTAATACAGCATTTCCTTTCCATCTTTGTTATTTGCTTTCATTTATGTGCATCAGTTTGAGGTTGCTTATGAAGTAGAAAGGATTTCCCATATTCAGTCTGGGTTATCATTATGAACTGGAAGGTCATTGATGTGAAGATCGAGTCCTGGCTGAAAGTCATTGATACTGATATCAATATGCTGATATATTTGCACTATAAAGGTCCTTTGTAAGTAAAACCTTTGGATGGTTGCTTTCAGGCTTATGACAGTGATCTCAACTTTTGACCAATTTCCTGCCATACATTAAGTATTGGACTTTTTTCTCTCAGTGTAACAAATCCCAGAGGATTTCAAATGTCGTATTATCGATAACTGGATCAAGTTCTTTCTTACCTCCAAGACAGATATTTAGACTTTTCCTTTAGACAATGGAGGCCTTGGTCTGTATCATATCACAGTGCTACCTCACTGTATTTCAATAAAAATTATAAATAAGAGTATGTTAGGGACTTGTCTGACCACTGCTAACTCAATACTTGGTTAACATTGTTGAACATTCCTTGAGACCTTATCTCTAGTTGTCAGTAAGCTAGCACTGTGTTATTATTCAGAATATATATACATATATATATCTGTATATATGTATATGTATGTGTCTGTGTATGCAATACATTAGTTACATAAATATGTTTATTAATTTAATAGCTGTGAGATATGTTTTTACCTGAGCTTGATATGACTTTTACAACCCTTCTCATGGGAAAAGTAGTGGAAATTCTCTAAAGCTGGGAGTATAGTACAGAAAAAGAGCTAGGAAATGTGAATAGATATGAGTAAGCAGAAGCATTTTTGGTAGTAAAGTATCCAATTATTTTTGGAATTAAATTTTCATCGGTACTTGAAAAAACTACAGTATTTCATAAGAATAGATGGAAAGGCGGGAAATTTTATTACCTAAGAAAATATTTTAGAAATCCTTCAGTGTTTTAAAAGAAAAAATAACATAGTAAAAGGGTGTAGTGCTAAAAAATTTATACAAATAATTAAAAAATGCCCCTATAGTAACCGAGGTCAGAATCCCATTCTTTGCAATTTAGCAGAATTGCTGTAAGCAGAATTTCACTCACTATTCCTTCAGTGCATTGCTTGTAATTTGGGAGAGATACTGCACAGGTCCCGAGTTGTAGCACTTTAGTTTATAAGCCCAGGAGGGTCTGGAATCCATCCTCTCTTATCTAAATATCAGCTCAGTCAGAAATCTGGTGCCAAAGTAACACAAATGGGGCTAGTAAGATAGAAATATTGCAAATAAACTTTTTAACTTTGAACAGCCTTACCAAGAAAAAACAAGATCTTAAAATTAAAGTTCACATTTGGTGAGTGCCAATATAAAGCAATCAGCGACTGAGTAATAAAGATGTACTATGTTCAATTCTATATTGAACAACTAAAATAGAAGTTTTCTATGGAAGACAGCCTACATGTCTAAGATGTTTAAAAGAAAATGATGCCCCATAGAAATATAAGGTCTAGGTAGGGTGGATAAGGCTGTCTTGAAAATCAATAGCCAAAAATGACATATAAAGTAGATACTGGGCAAAAGTTATTTTTTAACTTTTGCATTTTCTAGAAACACTGTTTAGGATTGCATTACCCTGTCTTCTGAGCATAAAAAACCTTCTGAAAGTGATATTCAAAAATACAAAGCAAGCTAATTTGGCTAGTATATCCCCTGCTATTTACTGTAACCATTTAATATGTATTTCTTCAGAATTATTAAGAAAATTATTCACAAGCACCGGAGATTCTTTCTTTCCAAAACATAAATGATCTTTGCAGTCCACTGGGATTTAGTCTCTTTGGTGGAGGACCCAAAAAATTATGTCAAGTTGTTTCCATGTTGGAGTACACCTAGAGGAAGAACTCTGTAGCAGTGTCCAAAAAGGTAATATAATAAAAAAAAAAAAATATATATATACACCCTTTACAGGACACTATTACTGATTGCTGATAATAATTTTCATCCTATTATTAATACGAGCTGTAGGACTCCTTATTCTGAAATCCATAATAGTTGAACATTAGGTGGACTGAGTTTTCAGTTGTAACACTGTCCTGGCAAGGCAATAGGAGTCCTCTTAGAAGGCATAAATTGCATTCGTATTGCTTCAAAAACTTGGTGGAATAATGTAAACCAGACTATTAGAAATGAAATCCAGACCTCATTTTAAAGCTGTGAACAGCTTCTGCCTACTGCCATCCAATGAAGAATGCAAATTGGATTTGAGTAAGTTTGAGAAAAAATACTTTCTTTAAAGTTTAAAACCAAATGTTTGTGTAGAACTAGTAGATTTGTGTCCAGACAAGGTTGTACGTAACTTCTTTTATCCCATGATAGATACAAGAGATATTCTAGACTTCTGTCATGCAGTCTTTGAAACTAGAAGATAAAATAGTGTTGGAAATTGGAACAATGTGAGGAGGTACTGAAAGCTGCTCATGTACTGTTATGTAAATAGATGTGCTAATGATTTTACATCTTGCATACCCATTGCTTGTATTTGCCTAAATGTGTGTTTTGTTCACCCTGCCTGGGCTTGAAGATATGCCTAATACTTGCATATTGTCAGCAACGTGGTAAAAACCCAAGTAAAACTCACTTTGTGTACTTATGAATACATTTAACTGGGACTGAGGAGAGCATGGTAGAGTTGGACCCTTGTTTGAAAAAAAACCCTCCTGAGATGACATTCCAGTTTCTTTCAGTGAAGATGTGATTGTTTAATTCATAATGCCTTTCTTACACTACCAGAGGAACAGAGCGACCCAATTTAATTTCATTCTTATGACATTACCCTTCTGGTTAGAAAGTGTTAGGGGCAGGGAACTTGCTAGGATCTTGGTGTATGTGCAGGTGTGAGGCAGGGGGATTGTGACCAGGAGGAGAGGACCTGGAGATCAGGAGGAGAAAGGGACACTGTGGTTTGCAGACAAATGTGTCAGTGCTGGCTTGGCTCCAGGCAGAGAGGATCTGACTCCTTCCTCTGTCCTCCTTTGGTGTTTTGAGTGCTGATTTGGGTGCTCGTGCTTAGGGGTGCTCCCGGAGAAAGGAAAGTGTAAATTAAATCCCTGCCCCAGCGATTTCTTCCAAGTGCTGTAGCATTGTTGGCAAGGAAGGTAGCTTGTGGGCTAAGAGAGAAACCACACGCATGCAGTAGGGTGCAAAAGAAAACATCAGGAAAAGGCTGTAGAAAAGAGGAGGCTGGTTTTAAATGTTTTTAGCTAAGCTTTTACACTGAGGTATTTTAAATCTGGAGTGTAGGCAAGTCAAGTTGTACTGTAACATCTGCTAGTATATTTTAACATCTGTTTGTGTGGAGCGTTGGACATGGAGTTTTAAAAAGAGCTGAATTTTTTTTAAATGTGACTGAGCTTTAACTTAGTCTAAAATAAAATACCTTTGCTAGGAAGATTGTTAGTTCTTAG